CATGTCCATTGGACTTGCTCACCACTGCTACCCTGAGTTTTATGGGAGTGCAACCTACAAGTGCAACCTACACCTTAGGCCAGGTGTTGACCCATATCACTTCTTATCTCCCAGTTGCCTTCCCCACCATCGCTGAGGACGATGATGACAAGATCGTGGGAGGCTACACCTGTGCAGAGCACTCTGTTCCCTATCAGGTGTCCCTGAATTCTGGATATCACTTCTGTGGAGGTTCCCTCATCAGCAGCCAGTGGGTCCTGTCAGCTGCTCACTGCTACAAATCGTGAGTGGAAAAATTGACATTCTTCTACAACTGACTTCTGTCTTCCAGCTCACTTCTAGCAGGAATTCAGAGTTATGAGATACAAAGAGAGAAGTGCCCCTGTTCTGACCTGAGACAGCCAAGGGATGGGTGGCTCAATCAGGAAGGGTGGCTGAGGCACCCGAAGGGGTTTCTTCCTTCTGCAAATGTTTCTGTGAATGCAGAGCACTTTCTGAAATTACAGTGGAATAATCGAGAAACGAAATGATGGGCTATGATTTCTTGTCAATTGCATGAATCCAGCTAAAGCTTGGGCACTGCAGAGCAGGAAGAGGAATGAGGTCAGGGTGAGGGAGGTTTGCCTTTTTGCAGAATGTTTGCTTAAATGGCTGCAATATATTCAACTGCCATGTATATATAACCCTGCAGACATCCACCACCTCTCCTGGGAGTGGGTAAAGATCTCAGTGTGGATCCCCAGGGCTTATGCAGGACAAGAAAGGTGACCCACCCAAAAGAGCTGCTGGGGCAGCGGTGTTGCAGCAAGTGCATAAAGTGACAGGGAGGTTTCTCTGAAGCTGTCCAAGGGTTGCAGTAAAGTACATGTCTTGCCTTCTCTTTTGCAGTCGCATCCAAGTGCAGCTCGGGAAACATAACCTGGCCCTGACAGAATCCACACAGCAGTTTATTAACTCAGCTAAAGTCATCCGCCACTCTGGCTACAGCTCCTATACCCTGGACAATGACATCATGCTCATCAAGCTTGCCACCCCAGCCCAGCTCAACAAATCTGTCCAAACAGTTGCTCTGCCGACCAGCTGTGTGGCCACCGGCACCACTTGCCTGATCTCCGGCTGGGGCAACACACTCAGCAATGGCAGTGAG